GCCAGCCGTCTGGTTAGCAGGCAAGTGTCTTAGCCACTATGCTACCAGAGCTCCCAGCTTGGGTTAGACACCCCTTAGTCTTCAAAGTGACATCTTTGCTCTTTAATACATTAAACAGGTCTCTTGCAGCAGAATTGCCCAATGCAATATAGCATTTGATTTCTTGACTCCTGCTTCCATGAGTATTGATTGTGGATCCAAGTAAAATGAAATCCTTGACAATTTCAATCATTTCTCCATTTATTATAATGTTGCTTATAGGTCCAATTGTGAAGATTATTATTATTTTTTTTATGCTGAGTTGTGATCCATACTTAAGTCTGTAGTCTCTGATTTTCATCAGCAAGTGCTTCAAGTCTTCTTCACTTTTATCAAACAAGGTTGTGTCATTTTCATATTGCAGGTTGTTAATGAGTCTTCCTCCAATCCTCATGCTGGGTTCTTCTTCATGTAGTCCAGATTCTTAGATTATTTTTTCACTATATAAATTTAATAAGTATGGTGAAAAGATACAACCCTGACACACACCGTTCCTGATTTTAAACCATGCAGTATCCCCTTGTTCTGTCCGAATGACTGGTTCTTATTCTATGTATAGTTTCCTCATAAACACAATTAAGTATTTTAGAATTCCAATTCTTTGCAATGTTATCCATAATTTGTTACAATCCACACAGTTGAATGCCTTTGCATAGTCAAAACATAGGCAAACATTTTTCTGATGTTCATTTCTTTCAGCAAAGATCCATCCAACATCAGCAATGATATCCTTCATTCCATGTCCTCTTTGGGATGGCAGTTCCCTGTCAACATACTGTTGCAATCCTTTTTGAATTATCTTCAGCAAATTTTACTTGCGCGTGGTATTAATGATATGATTCAGTAATTTCCACATTCTGTTGGATCACCTTTCTTTGAAATGGGCTCAAATATGGGTCTCTTCTAGTTGGTTGGCCAGTTTGTCGAAACATCTCAATGGATATCCCATTAGTTCCTAGAGCCTTGTTTTTTTCCAAGTTCCTTCAGTGCCGCTTGGACTTCTTCCTTTAATATCATCAGTTCTTGATCATATGCTACCTCCTGAATTGGTTGAATGTCAACCAATTTTTTTTTGGTACAGTGACTCTAGGTCTTCCTTTCACCTTCTTTTGATGCTTCCTACATTTTTCAATGTTTTGCCCATAGAGTCCTTCACTCTTTCAACTTGAGGCTTAATTTTTTTTCTTCAGGTTTTTTTTTTTTTTTTT